CTATTTAGAAAAGCTGGATGTGCACAAGTCCATGGGGCCGGACGAGTTGCATCCGAGAGTGCTGAAGGAACTGGCGGCTGTGATTGCAGAGCCATTGGCCATTATCTTTGAAAACTCGTGGCGAACCGGGGGAAGTCCCGGATGACTGGAAAAAGGCTAATGTAGTGCCAATCTTTAAAAAAGGGAAGAAGGAGGATCCTGGGAACTACAGGCCAGTCAGCCTCACTTCAGTCCCTGGAAAAATCATGGAGCAGGTCCTCAAAGAATCAATCCTGAAGCACTTGCATGAGAGGAAAGTGATCAGGAACAGCCAGCATGGATTCACCAAGGGAAGGTCATGCCTGACTAATCTAATCGCCTTCTATTATGAGATTACTGGTTCTGTGGATGAAGGGAAAGCAGTGGATGTATTGTTTCTTGACTTTAGCAAAGCTTTTGACACGGTCTCCCACAGTATTCTTGTCAGCAAGTTAAGGAAGTATGGGCTGGATGAATGCACTACAAGGTGGGTAGAAAGCTGGCTAGATTGTCGGGCTCAATGGGTAGTTATCAATGGCTCCATGTCTAGTTGGCAGCCGGTATCAAGTGGAGTGCCCCAAGGGTCGGTCCTGGGGCCGGTTTTGTTCAATATCTTCATAAATGATCTGGAGGATGGTGTGGATTGCACTCTCAGCAAATTTGCGGATGATACTAAACTGGGAGGAGTGGTAGATACGCTGGAGGGGAGGGATAGGATACAGAAGGACCTAGACAAATTGGAGGATTGGGCCAAAAGAAATCTGATGAGGTTCAATAAGGATAAGTGCAGGGTCCTGCACTTAGGACGGAAGAACCCAATGCACAGCTACAGACTAGGGACCGAATGGCTAGGCAGCAGTTCTGCGGAAAAGGACCTAGGGGTGACAGTGGACGAGAAGCTGGATATGAGTCAGCAGTGTGCCCTTGTTGCCAAGAAGGCCAATGGCATTTTGGGATGTATAAGTAGGGGCATAGCGAGCAGATCGAGGGACGTGATCGTTCCCCTCTATTCGACATTAGTGAGGCCTCATCTGGAGTACTGTGTCCAGTTTTGGGCCCCACACTTCAAAAAGGATGTGGATAAATTGGAGAGAGTCCAGCGAAGGGCAACAAAAATGATTAGGGGTCTGGAACACATGAGTTATGAGGAGAGGCTGAGGGAGCTGGGATTGTTTAGCCTGCAGAAAAGAAGAATGAGGGGGGATTTGATAGCTGCTTTCAACTACCTGAAAGGGGGTTCCAAAGAGGATGGCTCTAGACTGTTCTCAATGGTATCAGATGACAGAACGAGGAGTAATGGTCTCAAGCTGCAGTGGGGGAGGTTTAGATTGGATATTAGGAAAAACTTTTTCACTAAGAGGGTGGTGAAACACTGGAATGCGTTACCTAGGGAGGTGGTAGAATCTCCTTCCTTAGACGTTTTTAAGGTCAGGCTTGACAAAGCCCTGGCTGGGATGATTTAACTGGGAATTGGTCCTGCTTCGAGCAGGGGGGTTGGACTAGATGACCTTCTGGGGTCCCTTCCAACCCTTATATTCTATGATTCTATGATTCTGTTTTGTTTAAATGGCTGATAAAATAAGTTGTGCTGAATGGAATGTATATTCCTGTTTTTGTGTCTTTTTGTAACTTAAGGTTTTGCCTAGAGGGATTCTCTATGTTTTGAATCTGATTACCCTGTAAGGTATTTACCATCCTGATTTTACAGAGGTGATTCTTTTACTTTTTCTTCAATTAAAATTCTTCTTTTAAAAACCTGATTGCTTTTTCATTGTTCTTAAGATCCAAGGGTTTGGATCTGTGTTCACCTATGCAAATTGGTGAGGATTTTTATCAATCCAGGAAAGGGGGTGTAGGGTTTGGGAGGATTTTGGAGAGAAAGATGTTTCCAAGCGGGCTCTTTCCCTGTTATATATGTGTTAGATGCTTGGTGGTGGCAGCAATAAATTATAAGGGCAAAAGGTAAAATAGTTTGTACCTTGGGGAAGTTTTAACCTAAGCTGGTAAAAATAAGCTAAGGGGGTTTTTCATGCAGGTCCCCACATCTGTGCCCTAGAGTTCAGAGTGGGGAAGGAACCTTGACATACCCCGACATACATTTCCAGTTATCAGCCAAAACACCAAAACGATAAACGTTTAGCCCCATCTTGCATATGGCATTACAAAGCAGTGCCAGTGCATTAGGTAATAGTATCAATTCTGTTCTGTATGGACAATATTCCAAGATAATTTCTAATGACTACACAGGAAAGCAAAGGTAATGGAACACTATCAAGAAGTTTCGTTCCAAAATTTCGGTAGATTATCGATATAGGTGTGACAACGTTTTACTAGTCATGCTAAGTAAGGCCTGTTATATAAATAATAATTCAAATGTGCAGAGCACTGCACAAATATTAATCAATCATTAGAAATACTCTGCTAGTGAGGTAGGCAAGCATTATTTTCTGCTGTAGGGAAGGAGATAATGAATCCAAACATCTGGAAGCTGGGTTGCTCCTCACTGTAATCAAGAGGCAGCATGATTGAAAGGGCAAGACATTGGCATGGGACTCAGGAGACTTTAGCAAGTCATAGGCTGAGCTGGAAATGGAAATGTGTCACTTAGGGCAGGTCACTTCACATCCATGGCTGTTTCAGCTCTCACCCTCTATCTTTGTCTATCTAGGCTGTAAGCTGTCCAGGGCAGGCTCGATCACTATGTATACATACAGCAAGAAGAGGCCCTAATCTCAGATGGTGGCCCCACGAGCTAGACACCATAATATAATAATAATAATAATAATTAAATCTGACAGCCCCATCATTTGCTTAAGAAAACTTTCATCCGTAGAGGCGGCTTTTTGAGTGATCTTTGTGAATGGAAGTTGAAAAAATTCTGTAAGAATCACAATTTTGTATCCAAGAGTATTTTAGCCAGTAGTGCCGCGGCCTTGGGTGTTAGGTCCTTAAGCACGTAACTCCTTGATCTCAGTCCCAAGGCCCCTCAGGAAAGCAGGAGAGTGCTGTCTCTTTTGCTTCGTACCCAGGATATGTAATACAAAGGAACCACCAAGTTAAGGTGGGATTCAAATGACTATACACACACACACACACACACAAAACATGCATATTGTTACCCCTTTTTGATCTGAGCAATTAGCCAAAATTCAGGCTCCTGCAGGTTGTTACAGTTGGAGGATAAACTGATAATGGAGACAGGTATCTTGGATGCAATCCTGTTTATTTACAAAGACTGTAAAAAATCCTGTTTCCCTGAATGCAGCAGGAGACAGTTCTTTGCTCTCATCTCCAAACCCCCTCCTAGACAGCACTTGGCTCAAGAGTGCTCTCTCTCTCTCTCTCTGCTTTTTCACAGTGCTTGTTCACTCTGTATCGGGTGCTTCTTTCTCTCGGCTTCTCTGCCTTTCTATGTCCCTTTCACAGACACACAAACCATCACAAAACAATAGCCAGCAAGACATCTCCATCCACATGTGTCTGTGCTTTGAGTGAAAGCTGATGGCCGCCCTGCTTTCTGGTTCCATAAAGGAGCTTAACTGTTTCTTACATTTATCCCAAATCAAGGGTGGCTGTTATGCCCACCAGTTTCAATGAGGTTTAACCCAAGCCATAGCTCCAAAACTGCTGCTTCTCTGGCAGGCAAGGCCTGCACTATCCTATGCCTTGCTGCTTCTCCACTGAGCCTTTCCTACCTTTCTGTCTCTCCCCCCCGGCTCTGGGCTTCCCAGCTGCACCGTGCACTGCATGCATCCCTCCCTTCCCCCAAGGAGCAGCTCCATACTATTTCCCTGCAGCCCCTTGCTGCTCTCAGCTTCTGGGCTTTATACAGGCCCCTCTTGTTCCTGTCCAGCTGAGTCTCATCTCTAATCAATCCCTGCTCCCTGGTTCCTTCTCCAGGTGCAGCCTGAGCAGTTAATTGGCCTACCTAGCCACCTTAACCCCTTTAGGTCTTGTATGGAATGGATACTCCCCCACAGCCCTCTTTCATGTGCAATGCACAGCTCTGTGCTTCGTGGGTCAGACAGGCAGAGTCCCTGATTTGAGGAGCTTGTGATCTAGATTTTATTCATAGCATGTGCAGCAAACAATAGGGGCATGGATGAGGAACGGCAGGGTGACACAAGCCTAGGCAGTGACTCAGCAAGTGAACTAAAAGTTACATCTTAAATTATTTCACTTTCTGTGGGTTTCTTGGAAGGGGTGCTTTCTTTGCACATTTAATGAGTTTTTAGTAGCTTTTTATTAGCTGACAGATGAGCTCACTGGTTACGTGAAGGAAAAGGAGGATCCCAATTCGCACATTTGTTGGATTTATTTGCAGAAACACAATCCCACCCACCCCCCATGCACACACACACACACTTCACTGATAGAGAAACTGAAGAAGAGAAGCAACATGACTTATTCAAGGACACATTGTAAGCCAGTTACCGTAACCCTATAACCAGCCATTCCTTTAGATTTCGATACTTCTTGACCGTGTCCCTTTAAACACATTAAGATCTCTGTATAGCATTGCTCAGACAGAAATAAAAGCTGCACTGGCATTTATAAACCTAGAAACTTTCTTAGTATCAACTTAACTGTCAATATAATACTTACAATAAACTCAATGCACCAAGTACACTCCAAAAAACAAAACAAAGAATGATTTCTTACTCATGCACAAATATAGGTGAAACTCAGTGCCATGGATTCTGAATAAGGGACCAACAGTAGATAAAACACTGTCTATATAACCCCATGATGCACCATGAAATAAAATAGCTTACTTGCAAAGTGAAAACATTATCTTTCAAGAGATGGCATAAATGTAATTTGCTGACATTAAAGTTCTTCAGGCAAACAGAGGATGCGAGAAATTCAGAATAGCCTTTGATTTTAAGAAACAGTTAATTGACCAGATTCTGATTGCAAACCCCTTCACACAGTTCAAGATTCAAAACTGAAAAACAAAAAGAATAAAGCAACCTGCTTACCAGTTCAGTTGTTTGCTGAGTAGATACGCCATTCAATATTTGCAGACCACTAACTCCTAGTGATTTCATATGCTGTCACCCAGACGAGTCCTATATAGAAAGAGAGAAAAAACAACAACCCATAATGTCCCAAAGCAGCATTTATGAATGAGGGCCACAACTCCAATATTAGTGTAAAATTACATATTTAAATTATTTTAAAGGCATAAGAATACCCAAAAATTGGATCTACAAGGAAAATTGAGCAGCTGTTGTTTTCTAGTCTCTTTATAACTGCAGAGAATAATTGGAGCAAATCAGCTTATTTAATGAGATTATGATCTTTATACTGCACTGGAGTCAGAACCAAGAAAGTTAACTGTGCAGTTTTATGATTTTTTTAAAAGGGACACTGAATAATAGGTTCAGAAAGACAAGAAATCCTGCAAAAACAGAAGTGTCCGTCCATCTGCCCCCTCCTCTCCACAAACACTAGAAAACATCAGCAACATTGCTGGAAAATCTTAGCACAAACCCACGGGGCACCAAGCAAAACAGATTTGAAACAAGAAGTCTAGTTTCACCGTCTGAGTGAATTGCAGAAAACCCAACAAATATGTAAGTGATGAAAGATAAAATGTAAACATGTATTTTGGTTACATCCTGCAATCTGATCCATTGCACTGGGTGCAGAACCCCACTGACTTCAGCGGGACACATGTGTTGGTGAAAGGGTTCACATATATGAATCTGTGAATATATGAAACAGTGTGCCATCCCATGCACCACCTTGTGGCCAGGTGTGGCACTGCAGGAACAGCATGTCTTAATTTCCCCAATTGGGTTGTCAATTTCAGCAAGGCTTTTATGCTTTGAACAGGGCCCCCTTCTGAGTATCTTGTTTATTAGCAGAAAATTCAACAGAAACCCAAGAAAGCCCTTCACTCAGGCATCTTGGCAGGAAAGAAGAATCAATCTAAGTTTCAGTGCCACATCCAGGCCCTTTGCCCACCGTGAGACGCTCTCAGACCTCGATTCCTTCGTGGAACGAGAGTCTGTGTAGGGCCTGCCTGCTGACTAGCGCTTTCACAAGCAGCATGGAGCTCCCCCCCCTCATTCGTTAGCAGGACACATAAAGCACTGCTTTGAGAGAGAACATACGTAGTGTACACATGCTCTGTAAATGTCAGTACCTTACAAGTGCCGTCGTGTAGAATATTATTTGAGAGCATAACTGTATGTACTTTTCTGAACTTTGCCAATATATGTAGGTAGGTAATCTCACAAGGTATAGGATGCTTGCTCAGATACAGCCCAATCTATCTGCTGAAGACCATCCCAGTTTCAATCTATTTTCAATGGCCATAGAAGAATCTTCAGCCTAAGAGCTGTTTAAGATTTTTTCTACCCCCCGACAGACACTAGTGATGAGCACTATTATGCATAGAGGAAGCAGATGGCCAAAATAAACAGCACTGAGCCTCAAGAGAACTGCCTGGCATCATCACTAATGGAGAGACAAGGTGGGTGAGGTAATATCTGTTATTGGACCAACTTCTGGTGATGAGAGAGACAAGCTTTCGAGCCACGCAGAGCTCTCCTTCAGAAGAGCTGTGTAAGCTCAAAAGCTTGTCTCTCTCACCATCAGAAGTTGGGCCAATAAAAGTGTAACCCCCTGCGTGCTTACTCGGAGTGATGCTCTGTCCCCCTCTAGTAGTTGCTAGGCTCCCTTCAGAATGATGAGCCTGCTACAGCCTTGGCCACCACTAGACCGAGTGCCACCACAGGGCCTTGTCCACCACAGGGACCGAGTGCCACTCCGAGAAAATAGAGGGTTACAAAAGATACTACCTCACTGACCTTGTCTTTCTAATATCCTGGGATTCATATGGCTATAACACTGCATACCGTCACTAATGGCAGACCTAGTTCCATGGTTGGGGACAGGAATATGTATCCTCCACCTCTTGTCTGAACAGTGCATAGGAGTTATTGCAGCCCTAAGACTGGCACATGTTCCTTGACTTGCCCAGTCCCAGCAGTACAAGAAAGGAAGGAGCAAAATACTGGAAGCAGTGGCGCATGGGAGGCAGTGAGCTCAGACGTATTCTGATTAGGTTCTTACAACATGCCCATTGCCATGATATTTGAGCACCTCCATGTCCCAATTCCCAAATAGCTTGACAACTCCCAGCTAATGGGTTTTCATTCTCTGCATTGTAAGCCATAGGCAAATGACACACCCAGCCTTCCAGACACACACTTGCTGAATGGGGCCCATAGGGCAATATGAAGAAAAGCTGGATACTAGAGATTAGAGTCAACCTATTCATTAAGGTAACTGGTATTGCCATCAGGGGTCAATTAGGCTAAAGGTTTTCACAGACTAGTCACAGCAGGTAGAAATCTGAAAAAAGGGCTGGAATCAAAAGCCAGGATCTGAATGCTTCCACATTTGGGGGTGGGGAGGGAGGTTAAAAGCTGAACAAACATGCTCCACATTTTCCTAGTTGGACTAGGAACTAAAAGGACTATATCTAGGACTAAAACCTAAATGCCAGATCTAAATACTCCCAACCTTTGTTATTGGGTGATACAGCTTCAACATCCAGTTGCCGAATAATAACTACAAAGATTAAGGAGTCACCTGTCTGGGGTGTGGAATAGCAGAATGAACTTAGTCATTGCCTGTGTGAAGATATGCATTCAAGTGTGTCTGCAAGATTTTTCTCTCTTCTCCCTTGTACGTTGAAGGTAAATTGCAGGACACAGATGTGTGTGATTTCTCTGTTAAGAGATTAGCTTACCTAACAATGTCTTTTAATGCAGCTGGTTTTTTTTTCATTGCAATGAAGATACTATATTTCTGAATCTAATTTAAGCGGTTTTCCTTCAAATTTCCACAAATCCAGGCATTTAACAAGACTGATTCATATATTTTGAATTTTTTTTTGTTAAAAATTAAGCATACACATGCTGTGAACACTGTGAGATGCCACTTGTTTTTAACCTGACTTTAAAAGCCGTGTAACACATTGCATGGAGCACTAGAGGCTATTGTGCTTTGATATGTCATCCTGAATGTTTTTTATTTAGGATAAAGTGTTCCTGCTAATGTTTCCACTGTTGCTGGAGGGTTTCCTGTCTTTAGATTGCGCTTTTCTAGTCAGTCTAATGGCTCTATTCCAAATAGTTTACCGTTGCATGAATTACTTTTTGTCCTTCACAGACCTTGCATAGGTGCATGCATTTTGGTGACAAACTTCAAAGCATTTGGATCTTCGATTCAGATAAGCAAGTGTCAAAACGCTGAAATATTTATCCGAGCCTTTAGAATGCCTTGGAGTTGCAAATCTGAGTTGCATATCTCGAAAAATGAGGTTCTTTTATAAGATTTGAAGCACTCCTGACTTCCAGTTTAGCCAGAAAAAGCTCTGTTCTCAAACTACTCCCGCATTTCTGGGCTCAGCAAGAACCCAGAATTGAAGACGCATGAAAATATAGTACTGAATGTAGTGCAGTGGCCCCTACAAGCCCTGAATGGGAATCAGAGACCCACCGTGCTATATATGTGTGTGTATACACACACACACACAAGCTACAGAGCAACTGCCCATGACCCCCAAGGCTTTCAATCTCTGTTGATACTTTTGTAAAACAGGCACAATGGCCTCAAGTGCTAGGCACCCTTAATAATTACAGTAGAACCTCAGACTTAGGACCACCTAAGGAATGGAGGCTGTACTGTATTTACTTTTTTTTTGGGGGGGGTGCCTCTGCTGCTGCCTCATTGCATATTTCCAGTTCCAAATGAGGGGTGTGGTTGAGTGGTCAGCTTGTAACTCTGGTGTTCGTAACTCTGAGGTTCTACTGTATGTAAAGACACAACCCACCAAGTACAAAATCAGCAGCAACCTTCCATTTACAGCAATAACCAGAAAAGGAAAGCTACCTCACCTTCCCTAAATACTGCATCTCAGACTCCCCGCCCCGCCCCCCCAGCAAAGACGACGGGATTTCCAGCATGCCTTGAAGGGCAAACAAAATCCAGGCATTTCAGACCAAGGGAAGGAAGCAAGTTGTGCCTTCAGGGAGGAAACCCTACCAGCAGCTTCTTCCTTTTAGCGAGATTAAGACTTAACCCTATACAAGTGAATGGGAGTTTTGTCATGGTCTTCCATAGCAGAAGCAACATTACAAATTGTGGAGCTTGATATGGAGAAAATATGAGATTAATTCTTTTGTTGTGAATTCTCAGTGATTGTGAAAGGTGCTGGATTGAAGTCCTCCCTCCATAGCACAGATACTGCCATAAGACTGTTTCTCAACCCTGAGGTGCTGGAGCAGGGGGAAGGATAACTCCTACCTCCTATGGTCTCACTGCTGAGACTACCAATGAAGTCCCAATTACAGTGGTCATTTTGTGACGTGGTTCCCTTGGCCACTAGAAACTGGACTCAACCTACCTGGAGTTAGTCCAGTATATGGGGCAACTCTATGAATGTTTTGCTGAATCAAAAGTGCATCCAGCTGTATGCCACCATTGTTTGGGGTGGTCCCCATTCTATCCCCCACATCTTTCCTTTGTCTCGTCCCAAGATAATTTATTGCAGATGTCCTCAAATCCTGACCACACAGCACACCCCTCTTCCGGCAGTGGTTCTTTAGATTGGCTGTTGAAACAACAATTCAAAATATAGCTCAGCTTAAGCTTTCTCTGAGGTGTGCTATTCCCAGGAATTTCCTCCAGGGCCTCTCGTCCCTAGACTCTAGTTCCACCTGTGCTAAGAGCCACTCCCACCTACCTTATTATTTGTATTATGGTAGTGCCTAGAGACCTCAACCAAGATCAGGCCCTCCTCATACTAAGTATTGTGCATACACAGTTTGAGGAAAGTCCCTGCCTGAGAGAACTTATAGGCTAAATAAAAACACAACAAAGAGTAGTAGGGGAAACGGAGGCACAGAGTGGGGATGTGACTTGCTTAAGGTAGGTCAGTGGCAGAGACAGAAAAGAAACCAGGGGTCCTGATTCCCAAACCAGCAGACTATCTACTGAAACATGCTATTTTATATCTAGGATGGGGTTAACAAGCTGCATCTGCTGGACA